TAATAATAATAATAATAATAATAATAATAATAATAATAATAATAATAATAATAATAATAATAATAATAATAATAATAATAATAATAATAATAATAATAATAATAATAATAATAATAATAATAATAATAGTGATTAATAACAATAGCAATAATAATAATAATGGTGATAATAAAAAAAATAATTGATAATATTAATAACCAACATGTTCACAATTGTGACCAATCGAAACTGGTTGCTTTGTCCAATGTAAAATATGACCAATATAACTGGAACAACTTGATCCCTAGAAATTTTTAGTTGCAATTAATTAAAACCCATATGGTTAATAATTATAATTTGCAGTAAAATTTGAAATAATTATGAATAAAAAGTTATTTTCCGTTAATTTAGCACGAAATTCTTGCTATCATAATGCCATTAAATTAATAAAATAAGAATTAACAGAAAAAAGCTAATTAATTAACATTATTTAACCATGAATGTTCAATATCAATCAATACAAATCCAACATTAATTTGTAATTTAATTTTTTTAATCGACGAAGTAAACCTCCTTTTTATTCATTTATTGATTTTTTTTTCTGTTCGGAATTTGCTACATTAGGAATTAGTTAATTAAGCAATGTCGCTTGTTTTAATTAATTAATTACAAATATTTAGAGTGTAAATGACAGTGGTAAACTTACTCGAACAAAAACGAGTGCATTTTTTTTATTACTAGTTGGAGTGAATGTAATGCATGTATTACTTTCCCATTTTTCCATCGATTTCATTATAATATCTTTGGCATGTTGTGCTGCAAAAAGAAATTATCTAAAATTTTATAATTTAAATTAAACAAAATGAATAAATTGTATTAATGCTTCTTTTTCAAACTTCTATTTTAAATTGAAATTTGTGAATTTTAATAAATGGATTTGTTAGTATTATTGCAAAATTAAATTTGTTTACTTCTGAAATATATGAATCGTTTTTGTTCTAACTTTTTATGATAATATTACAATTATTGATCATATCCTTATCAGCATCATTCTAGTAAAATAAGTTTGACAAATTCACTGACATTGCATAAGCATAAAATAATCGCAAACGTTAGCCTCGTGGCGCATTTGTCAATGAGGTTGTCACAGTACATTTCAAATTTATCAGTAAAATTGTCCAGTATATTTCAAATAAAATTTCGCTTTAAAACTTAAACCATAAAATGAATAATTAGCTAGGCTTTTAAGTAATTGCTAAATTTAGTATTTAATGGAATCTGAAAGTGAAATGGAAATGAAAATTGAAATTTATACAAAGTTTTGAATCAAATCGATACGGTACAATGCCATTTTGCCAAAAATAATTATCAGCGTGATAAGCTTGTCGTTTCTCTCGTCTCATTTTGTTTGTTTGATTTGAAAATGTCATAAAATAATCGAATACTTGATTCCAAATCTCTTCTTGTTGCCTGTAAGACAATAATTTTTTTTATTTTCAAAAAAGGCAAAATGTTTATTTCTTATATTAATTAGAAATTAATTTTTGAAGTTTAAAATTGAATAATCTTTAACAATTGAAAAATTAAAAAATAAAATTCGTATTTGAATTTGTCAAAAATAAGTTAAATCATCAAGAATCCAAGTTATTAATAACTCAAATTATCAATAATTTTAATAACTCAAATTATTAATAATTTCAATAAATCAATTATGAATCATTAAAAAAAATGGCTTCAATTATCAGTAATTTTTCAACAACTTAATAATGGAAATGTTTTAAAATTTTTAACTGCAATACCTAAAATGCCAATTATTTATACCATGCAATTAACTATTTTTTTTTTTTTTGCATTCACGAAAAGAAGATTTGATATGATGAAAATTTGCATTTGTATTAATCAAAATATTGTGCTAATATTAATTATTCAAATTTTAAAGTGAATTTAACAATACTCTTTAGTTTTGCACGTTTCCTATGGATTTTATAAAAGCGAAATAATTTAATTAATTTCTTCATTACAGAGAAAACAAACAAACAAACTTTGTAAGCATGATATCGCCTTCAACTATTCGTACATTATTATCCAAGTATTGATTAAATGTTCCGCTTATTGGTAATATTCTATCAGAATTATTGTTGACAAGATTCCTTTCGAGAACTACCTTATCCGGAACATTTTCCGGATGTTTATTCCGCTATAATTTTCATTATATTCAATAAATGAAGAAATTTCATAATTGATTACAATTTCAAACTTATTTAAAAGATGGAATAAAACGAAGGCGCAATACCTGGAAATGTAAAAAAATTAACGGCAAGAAAGAAAAACTTTAATTAAAATAAATTTAAAAGAATTCCTTTTAAATTTTAATTAAAGCAAGATGTAAATTTAATTTGAAATACCAATATCGAAATACTCATTTCTTTTTCCTTTTATTTAATCGATTTTCTTTTTTCTTTGAGTCATGAATTCTGGTGAAATATAAAAATTATAAGTTTTGGATTTTTCGATGCTAAAAAACAGTTCATTCTATTTATTAACTTTTAGAACTGTCATAATTGTCTTAGCAATTCTGATTTAATTTTAAAATTGTTACGATAATTTTATCAATTCTGAGCTATTTTGAAATTTTCATAATTATCAATAACTGTTCGTCTGTTCGTTGAGGTACATTTTATCATATTGTTAAAAAATAGCACTTACCAGTGCAGGAATAATCATCGCTAATGTAATATGACATAACCAGCTGATAAGAAGTATCACTGATAACATTATTCGCTGTACTGCGGAATAATACATCCGACTGAAATTTGAATTTAAAAACAAATTGACAATAAAAATATTTAAATCGATAGACGACAAAAAAAAGGCAAGTTCAATTAGCGTCGAAAAAAAAAAAGCTTTTTTAAACAAAAAGTATGTGAAGTATCGGATAAAAGTATAAATTCATTATTTACAAAACAAAACTGCAAGCAAAATATACATTATTTTGAAAATATTTTTGTCCAGGAATGAAATTTGATACTCGGAATAGAATTTAGTGATTCATTAAAAATTTTTCGCACAACTTTGGAAAAACCATCTAATTATCAATTTAATTTTGATTAAATAATCAGCAAAACATTTATTTCCTTAAAGAATTAATTGATTGTATATGTAAAGTTACATCGTTAATACATAATTAAGTTGAATACTTCAAATCAATATTAATAATGAATTACGAAATATTTCAGTATCCTATTATTAAAGTTATCAATTATGAAGTATTTTAGTAACTCGATTACGATACTTCTAATTTTGATAAGTGTGACAATGAGAACTTAAACATGTAGTATAATAAATTTCCACTGATAGCACAAAAATAAAGCAAATCAATTGTTTGTTCCTATAATTTAAAATGTTATAAAGCAATGAAAGCAACGAATTCGAAATTTTTGCAAACACAAATAATCGGAATAGGGAGATAATGGAATAGGAATATTTAACAACTAGAAAAGGAACTTGATTTAATGTTATAATTTCATTGATAGCACAAAGAAATCATCCATATAAATTTATTATTGATTGATATACGTTAAAACAATATTTTGCAAAATTTATCAACGCAAATATAACAGGAATATGACAATAATAGAATAACAAAACTTAGTAACTGAAATATCGAAAGAATGGAAATAAACAAAAGCGAAAATTTTATTTTAAGTTATAAAAAATGTTTACAATTTACTTTGCTAAAAAATATTTTTTTCCATAATTATAGAAAAATACAAGGAAGGATGAAAAAAGAAGTTCGAAAGTGAAAAGTGAAGAAGAAAATTCCGAAATTTTAAAGTTGCAGATAAGAAAATGAAATTTGGTACTAAATTTCTCTTTTTTTTTTGCAACCTTTTTGTATCAAATTCCGCTGTCAATTAGCATTTCCGTTTGTGAAATTTTCCAACAAAATCGAGCATATCATTGGAAGCCATCCAAATATGATTCGATATTCCTGTTTTAGCAAGGTTGAAATCCAGAGGGAGCACTATTAATTGGCATTAACCTTTGATCATGCACATGAGACAATTAGGTAATTTCAGCTTTGTTGAAATAAGTGCAAAGGTCATTATAGTCATCAAATTCCGTTGTCGACTTTTATCAAGCATTCCTGTTTGTGAAATTTTCCAACAGAATGGAGTGATTCGATATTCCTGTATCAGCAAGAAGAAATTCAGCGAGCACAATAATTAATTAGCTTTGATTATTTGTAGTTTCATCAAGTTATGGAAGAGTTCAAAGAGCAATATATGCATGTATATGAGTTTTTTTTTTAAAAAAAAGAAACTTCTCTCTTGCAATTTGACATTTGCAGTTTGGAATATTCGATCAATATGTCCGGAAATTTACCGGAAATGCATAGTTGTCGGAAAAATTGAACGGAATTGTAAAACGAAACATTTTTGACTTTTCTGTCAAACTTTCATTTTCCTCACACCCATCATTTTTTGCTTTCAGTTTTTCTTTTTTTTAAACACAATTTTTATTTTTTTTTGAAATTCAAAAGTTCAACATTTCTGAATGATCCAAAAATTTATACTGCTTTTAGCCTGGAAATCCTATAAACTATAAAATTTAATTGCCAAACAGAATTCTTAAATGATTTCATCTGGGAAAAAAAAGTGCTATTTTTAATCAATTTCATTTCAATTCCATCGACTTTTTAAATTTTTGAAAAATTTAAAAAATCGTTCTATAAAAATATAGAAAATCTACTAAAATTCTCTTTTCTTATTTGTAAAAATGAAGCGATTTGACAAAAATGATTGAAAAAATTATAATTATTTGTCGCTTTTTTCATGTCCGTAACTGCTATAATTATTAATACTAATTAAAATTACAGTTATTATCATTATTTATCTTCTTTTACTTTTTCTTCCTGTTTGTTATCATTATCTTTATTGTCATTATTATTATTGTTATTATTGTTATTACTATTTTTATTATAATTATTACTGCTACTATTGCTTGTTGTCACTTTTTATGATATTAATAATTCTTGTTATTATTGTTGTTGCAAGTGTTGACAATGTTGAAGATATTGATGATGATTATGATGACGTTTATTTGATGATGGTGATAGTGACAGTGGTAATTCTAGGCTATTAATCTATCAAAATAAAGTGAAAATTGTAGGTGTTATTTTGTGATTCGGCGTAGAAACATAAATCATTGCTATCTGACGTTCACTTGTCTAACAGTCAACATCTTGTCCATTAGACAGGGTGGACATCAGCAGTTGGATAACATATTATCGGAAGTGCATGAACCTAATATTGGTTTTTTAATTTCAAATTTCTCATTAAGAATGGTCGAAATAGCTAGCAGGTTAAATGCATGCTAGTGCACGAAAAACACGCAATATTCAAAAGAATATGCAAGTCGTCAAATTTCACATGGTTTTTACTAATTTGCAATATTGTGCCATACGGGTAACAAAAAAGCTATAAATTCATGCCTTAATAAACCTTTCAATGTGCAAGCAAGCATGCAGTTGTAGCTTAATATGTAAGCAAGCAACTATATTCACATAATATACGTATGTTGGTAAACACAAACATAGCTGCTTATAAATTATTTAAATGTCATCACACGTGAGGATATGTTCATAGATGATGACACTTTTCATTGAAGTATAATATTCGTGTCATCCGCTCTAATTGCTGCTTTTACAATTATCGATAAATTTAAAAAGCAATGCGACAAATGTTTTTCGAACACTTGAAAGGTGTTTGGCGTTGACAATTACATTTGTCTGATTAATTATTTCATTTAAAATTAAACAAAAGGTGATTTTGTACAATTCCCATGTAACGGTAATTTGTTGAATCCATAATTTAAAAATTATTTAAAAAAAAGGTTTTAAAAAATCAAAAAATGTAATTTTTTTTGAAAGTTTTTTCTATTCTTTTAAAATTTATCAATTTTACTTGATGCATTGTGATTATAGACTTGATAAAATTTCTACTACAAATTTGCCAAACCTGTTTGTTGAAAACTTCAAAAGATAAGATCAATTAATGAATTGCCCATTAAGCAGTGATTTATGATCACTTTTTGTTATTACTAACCGGTGATGGTAATGGTAATGATGTGAATGATAGCAATTTGATAATAACAATGAGTTATGCAAATATATGGTTACATAATCTATGTAGCTATTTCTAAACTTATCATTACCAATTTGTTATGATAACTTAATCCAGTTCACTTGTATAAATTCTTCATACAAGTAAACTATGTACCTCTGTACACACCTTTATGTATACCTTCATAAACCCTTATAAATACCTTCTACTTCAATTTTATCCCGAACTACAAAGATCAATGTGAGTAAGGCGGATTAAGTTGTCATAATAATTTAGCAATGATAAGTTTCGAAGTAATTACATAAATTGTGTAATCATGTATTAGCAGGAAAAAAAACGCAAATCTAATCATAAAAATTTCTCGACTTTCATTTTTTTTTGTTTTTATTTCTATCCATGTCTTTTTTTCTAGAAATTTTTCATAAGATATTTAATTATTCAATTGAATTCAAAAGAACAAAAAACAAATAAAAATAGAAATAAAAATAAATTATCAAATTCAATCACTTAACAATTTGTGTATTCATGTAATTTAATACAAATTTGAAACGATAAAAAGTTTCTTTTTTCCAGAAAAAAGGAAAATAAAAAATTTTACTTTTTGTACTTTGTTTTTTTTTGCTTCAACGTTATAACGATGATTGATAAGCTTACATACTAATCGCTGTTTTTTTTTTGTTTTCTCAGTGTTTATTCATCATGAATATTATCTTATCAATCTATCATGATAATGATAATATCAATAGGATTGAATGCGATTTTGTATGTATAATTTAAAAAAAGAGAACAAAGAGGAAAAGAAGAAAAGGAAACGAAAAATTTGCCAATCTATAAGTAAAGATAGTATACAAAAGTATGGTGTCAACGTGCGTGAATGTAAAACAAAATAAACAAAAATGTAAACATCTACAAAATATTAGCATAATTTATTACACTTCCAAGTATTATTATTATTATCATTATTATTATTATTATTATATTAT